TATTAAAGTAAGCTGTAATAGTGCCATTATCCTCAAGTGTTAGTGTTAACGCCACAAGCATGGCGTCTCCCGCGTTACAGATCTGACAGTGATGGCGAGCGGTTCTTAACAGATAGTTATACAGCTCACTAGAGAAATGATATCAAATGGAATTAGGCTCAGATGAAGTTCAAAAATATAATCAGATTGAAGAAATGGATCTATATCCCTAGTGATAAGTTTACGCAATATGTAATAATTCTCGGCATCCAGGATTTGTGTGAGGTCGGAATTTTAGAAGACAGGAATATTACAGCAACAATCAGTGAAAAAAAAAAATAAAGTTAACATTACAGTGATATATCTTGTTAACGTTACCGTGATATTTCTAGTTAACGTAACAGTAATATTTCTAGTTAACGTAACAGTGATATATCTAGTTAACGTAACAGTGATATTTCTAGTTAACGTAACAGTGATATTTCTAGTTAACGTAACAGTGATATTTCTAGTTAACGTAACAGTGATATATCTAGTTAACGTAACAGTGATATTTCTAGTTAACGTAACAGTGATATTTCAGTGATATTTCTAGTTAACGTAACAGTGATATTTCTAGTTAACGTAACAGTGATATTTCTAGTTAACGTAACAGTAATATTTCTAGTTAACGTAACAATGATATTTCTAGTTAACGTAACAGTGATATTTCTAGTTAACGTTACAGTAATATTTCTAGTTAACGTAACAGTGATATTTCTAGTTAACGTAACAGTGATATTTCTAGTTAACGTTACAGTAATATTTCTAGTTAACGTAACAGTGATATATCTAGTTAACGTAACAGTGATATTTCTAGTTAACGTAACAGTGATATTTCTAGTTAACGTAACAGTGATATTTCTAGTTAACGTAACAGTGATATTTCTAGTTAACGTAACAGTGATATTTCTAGTTAACGTAACAAGTGATATTTCTAGTAACGTAACAGTGATATTTCTAGTTAACGTACAGTGATATTTCTAGTTAACGTAACAGTGATATTTCTAGTTAACGTAACAGTGATATTTCTAGTTAACGTAACGTGATAGACTTACTGTGACTTCTTTACCAACGGTAGACTTACCCTGACTTCTGTACCAACGGTAGATACCCTGACTTCTGTACCAACGGTCTAGTTAACGTAACAGTGATATTTCTACTTTACCAACGGTAACAGTGATACTTAGTTGACTTCTGTACCAACGGTAGACTTACTCTGACTTCTGTACCAACGGTAGACTTACCCTGACTTCTGTACCAACGGTAGACTTACCCTGACTTCTGTACCAACGGTAGACTTACCCTGACTTCTGTACCAACGGTAGACTTACCCTGACTTCTGTACCAACGGTAGACTTACCCTGACTTCTGTACCAACGGTAGACCAACGGTAGACCCTGACTTCTGTACCAACGGTAGACTTACTCTGACTTCTGTACCAACGGTAGACTTACCCTGACTTCTGTACCAACGGTAGACTTACCCTGACTTCTGTACCAACGGTAGACGTACCCTGACTTCTGTACCTACGGTAGGCCTATTCTGACTTCTGTACCAACGGTAGCTCTACTCTGACTTCTGTACCAACGGTAGACTTACTCTGACTTCTGTACCAACGGTAGACTTACCCTGACTTCTGTACCAACGGTAGACTTACACTGACTTCTGTACCAACGGTAGACTTACCCTGACTTCTGTACCAACGGTAGACTTACTCTGACTTCTGTACCAACGGTAGACTTACCCTGACTTCTGTACCAACGGTAGACTTACTCTGACTGACTTCTGTACCAACGGTAGACTTACCCTGACTTCTGTACCAACGGTAGACTTACCCTGACTTCTGTACCAACGGTAGACTTACACTGACTTCTGTACCAACGGTAGACTTACCCTGACTTCTGTACCAACGGTAGACTTACCCTGACTTCTGTACCAACGGTAGACTTACCCTGACTTCTGTACCAACGGTAGACTTACCCTGACTTCTGTACCAACGGTAGACTTACCCTGACTTCTGTACCAACGGTAGACTTACCCTGACTTCTGTACCAACGGTAGACTTACCCTGACTTCTGTACCAACGGTAGACTTACCCTGACTTCTGTACCAACGGTAGACTTACCCTGACTTCTGTACCAACGGTAGACTTACCCTGACTTCTGTACCAACGGTGAACTTACCCTGACTTCTGTACCAACGGTAGACTTACTCTGACTTCTGTACCAGACTTACTCTGACTTCTGTACCAACGGTAGACTTACCCTGACTTCTGTACCAACGGTAGACTTACCCTGACTTCTGTACCAACGGTAGACTTACCCTGACTTCTGTACCAACGGTAGACTTACCCTGACTTCTGTACCAACGGTAGACTTACCCTGACTTCTGTACCAACGGTAGACTTACCCTGACTTCCTGACTTCTGTACCAACGGTAGACTTACCCTGACTTCTGTACCAACGGTAGACTTACCCTGACTTCTGTACCAACGGTAGACTTACCCTGACTTCTGTACCAACGGTAGACTTACCCTGACTTCTGTACCAACGGTAGACTTACCCTGACTTCTGTACCAACGGTAGACTTACCCTGACTTCTGTACCAACGGTAGACTTACTACCAACGGTGACTTCTGTACCAACGGTAGACTTACCCTGACTTCTGTACCAACGGTAGACGTACCCTGACTTCTGTACCAACGGTAGACTTACTCTGACTTCTGTACAAACGGTAGACTTATTCTGACATCTGTACCAACGGTAGACTTACCCTGACTTAGTACCAACGGTAGACTTACTCTGACTTCTGTACCAACGGTAGACTTACCCTGACTTCTGTACCAACGGTAGACTTACTGTGACTTCTGTACCAACGGTAGACTTACCCTGACTTCTGTACCAACGGTAGACTTACCCTGACTTCTGTACCAACGGTGAACTTACCCTGACTTCTGTACCAACGGTAGACTTACCCTGACTTCTGTACCAACGGTAGACTTACCCTGACTTCTGTACCAACGGTAGACTTACCGTGACTTCTGTACCAACGGTAGACTAACTGTGACTTCTGCACCAATGGTAGACTTACCCTGACTTCTGTACCAACGGTAGACTTACCCTGACTTCTGTACCAACGGTAGACTTACCCTGACTTCTGTACCAACGGTAGACTTACCCTGACTTCTGTACCAACGGTAGACTTACCCTGACTTCTGTACCAACGGTAGACTTACTGTGACTTCTGTACCAATGGTAGACTTACCCTGACTTCTGTACCAACGGTAGACTTACTCTGACTTCTGTACCAACGGTAGACTTACCCTGACTTCTGTACCAACGGTAGACTTACCCTGACTTCTGTACCAACGGTAGACTTACTGTGACTTCTGTACCAACGGTAGACTTTACCCTGACTTCTGTACCAACGGTAGACTTACCCTGACTTCTGTACCAACGGTAGACTTACCCTGACTTCTGTACCAACGGTAGACTTACTGTGACTTCTGTACCGTTAGTGATTAGTTAAGTTGTTCAGTTTGATAAAACTACGTCGCTAATTAAATCGTTTGAGTGTTTGTCTGACGTTTGTGATATCTGTTCGTTAAAAAGAGAGTCTTGAATCAAATCAATGTTATTAAAGTGCTTTTCTACACATTCCTGTTATCTGCTGGGTAAAACGTCGCATTTCTAATACCAATTTTATGCGCCAAATCGTTTTACTTTGAAATGAACTCCTTTCTTTGATATATGATTTAATTTACATTTAATGTCGAGACTGCCAGTCTGATCGATGTTTGTCTATCGTTCAATTAGCTGTCTATCAAGCAGTTACAATGATTATAATTTCAGACACGCGCGCGCGAGCATACGTTTGTTCCAGACGGTGATGTTTGCGTTTGTATGTAGTCTCGCACCAAATCTAGGCAGCATGATATTTATCATACTTGTAAAGTTTGGAGTCATTAAAATTAGAAAAAAAAGGTGTCCGAATGATAGGTTAATACCCCGTCTGTTTTCATTTGTTTTTACACATCTATCGTTGTATATGTAGGTTTTAGAGCAAAATCGGATGAAATGGAAGACTTCAGCAATATATGCTTCCGTCCGTCAGGGTCTGCATTACAGAGAAATACAGGCACTTTTGATTAAGAACGGTTTACATTGTTTCAATCTGGTGAAAATTTTACTTTATTTTAAAATCCTTTCATTTGAAAATTCACTGCATAAATAACACAATCTTCTATCAATTTTATTGTTTTAACACATTTTTACTTGAAGCAGAACCTGATTAGATTTCTTCAGTGAATGATGGTATAACATAGAGGGCATTACCCTGCAATGTAGTTAATAGATTTAAACATGAGGTTCAAAGCTTAATTTTACCTGTCGGTATGATAAGTATTATATCGCCGAAAAACACGCAATGTCAGGGTACATGTTCTAGCATTGTGTTTAAACCACGAGCTCCACGAAAGAAAAGATGGATAAGAGGTTCGAACGTTGATGAAATAACGTTAATACGAAAGTAGAAAATCGAGCGCTTTGTTGTTTCAATTTCGGTTCGATTGTCCGTTACGTTTCTTCTCGATTTCCGGTAACACTGTTTCATTTTATTTACAGGTATTTAACGATTAAAATCGTTAAAGATAAAGTAATTTAATTATAAGTTTACACACCTACTTACTAGCACGTGCTAGCTGTATTTAATTAGGCGTAGCAAGTTACCGCACCAGCTACACAGACAACACAAAATGCTTTGTACACAAACTTAAAATTAAATTTCAGTCCACGATATATCATATGAGGGTCAAACATGATTTGCTTAGTCATTTAAATTATAAATTCTATAAAAGTATATATGTTTCGTTTAAAGTATAAGTCAAATAATAAAAAAACAATAAATGACCAAGTGTTTGGTTTGACGGGTATGTGTATTAGTGTTATGTGTGTAGGGTATGCGCACATGTTGCTACTTACCTACAAACAGACAGAGGTCCTTTCCGAGTATAACCGCCGTTAACATCATGAGACTTTTCCACATGGTCTTGAAAAGAAACAGGAAAAATCACAGTAAATTCCCAACCTTATATTTATATTAAGTTCACATTTCAATTCGTGTAGTGTTGACAGTGATCCCAGGTAAACCACTAGTCAGATAGGGGCGGGTGAGCCACGATGTCAACAACACTGAACTGGCGTCTCCCCCAATCGTCCGTTCAAAATTGTGGAGCCTTCGGTCTTTCTGGAGCTCCACTGGTAATTGAAAAAAAGTATTCGGTTCTCAAATGGCCAATCACGCGGTATCACGTGATTGGGATCACACGAATATGTCTTGTTTGGTTTGGTTGCCTTTTGTAAAACGGCGTATTTCAGTAAATTATTTCATAAATGCATATCTTTGTACTTTAACGATTCGGTGTTGAGCTGCCGACTTCTAGCCCAGCTTTAGAAATGCTGGCGTGAATTTTGGAATGTCTTGTACGTCCCCACAAAACTTACGGCATGGTAGAGCATTTAGTTAAGATTATACGGAAATCACAGAAAAATTGAAAAAAAAATAACAACAGAAAAGAGGCAATAAAGATAGGACGGGCCTGTGTTTAGCGGGTATTGATCGTTCTAGGTAGCCGTCGCTGTGTATGTCAAGGAACACGAACAATAAACAATTATAATTACATACCCACATCATACCCTCATACTTCAACCATAATAAGATAAAAACAATGAAACTTCTACATAGTTACGTTTAAAACAAGTAGTGATACAGTACCAGTGAAACTTTATTTACGACAAAGTGTTGGTCAGCATATTCTACAGTTTAGCTGGTAAACATCGTTTCGCTCTTTTATATATTTACTTGCAAAGAACATATATGCCATTGCATAAAGTCACGTTACTTTCAATCCTAATTCAGATTATAACTGGCTTCAATTAAATTTTCATTATCAATTATGTAATCCGTCAGATGGAACAACCATTTTCATAGTGTAATACGTCAAGTGGAACAGTCGTCAATATTGACAGTGTAATACGTCAAGTGGAACAGTCGTCAATATTGACAGTTTAATCCATCAAGTGGAACAGTCGTCATTATTGACAGTTTAATCCGTCAAGTGGAACAGACGTCATTATTGACAGTGTAATCCGTCAAGTAGAACAGACGTCATTATTGACAGTTTAATCCGTCAAGTAGAACAGACGTCATTATTGACAGTGTAATCCGTCAAGTGGAACAGTCGTCATTATTGACAGTTTAATCCGTCAAGTGGACCAGTCGTCATTATTGACAGTTTAATCCGTCAAGTAGAACAGACGTCATTATTGACAGTGTAATCCGTCAAGTGGACCAGTCGTCATTATTGACAGTTTAATCCGTCAAGTGGACCAGTCGTCATTATTGACAGTTTAATCCGTCAAGTAGAACAGTCGTCATTATTGACAGTGTAATCCGTCAAGTGGAACAGACGTGATTATTGACAGTGTAATCCGTCAAGTGGAACAGTCGTCATTATTGACAGTTTAATCCGTCAAGAAGAACAGTCGTCATTATTGACAGTGTAATCCGTCAAGTGGAACAGTCGTCATTATAGACAGTGTAATCCGTCAAGTGGAACAGACGTCAATATTGACAGTTTAATCCGTTAAGTGGAACAGTCATTAGTATTGACAGTGTAATCCGCCAAGTGGAACAGACGTCAATATTGACAGTTTAATCCGTCAAGTAGAACAGTCGTCATTATTGACAAGGTCAAGGTGAACAGCCTTTATGCCAGTGTAATCCGTCAAGTGGAACAGCCTTTTTGACAGTGTAATCCGTCAAGTGGAACAGCCTTTTTGACAGTGTAATCCGTCAAGTGGAACAGTCTTATTGGGCAGATTACGTGTCTGTTTCTAAGTATAGTACAACAATTTTATTGTAATATTTACGTGCAAGTGGTAATTTTTTTTTTCAAAAATGGTACTTTACTAAGTGGCATTGTCGTGTAAAAAGTATATATATAGCACCGCACTGAAAAAAAAACAAAATGGAGTATAACCTAGTCAGAGATTTCAATTTATAGCGTGCTAATAATCACTTATCTGGACGCCACAGCTGATGTATAGCGTAACAATGCGTTGAATAATCGACTCTCATAGCTTAGGCAGGTATCCCACTTTAAAATCATATAGCAGTGACTTAAATACATCAGTCTCCTACCCATCGATACCGCACATGCCTCCTATCTTTTGTAAATACTTCTACCACGTTTCATTCATTTATTTATTTTAATGTCAGTTTGACCACTACAAGATCTCTGGTACAACAGTGCCCTATATATAACAGGAGTCCCTCGGACTCTCCGTTTTACTTTGTTTGCCCTGAACAAGAGGTATACTGGGCCTGCATCGCACACCAGGACTGGTCTGGTCACAACTGCATGGTCCACACAGAAGAAGATGGATTTTACATATCTCCTATTTTCCTATTTTATCCCATTCTTTTTCCGCGGGCGACTTATACAAAGTGACTCCAACCCATGATGGTCCAGAGTAAATCCAATTAATGTGCCTGCATCCCTACAGAAGAGGGGTATAAATGTGTACCATTATCTTGCCATTGGCACCCCTGCTTCCAGAAGGGTCAGACCTTCTGTTTATCCTTCCCTTACAGATTGGCCTAATGCTTAAAATACCATTAGCACAAAAGAAGAAGGTCTGTCCAGCTTTTCCTCTTCTTCATCTACTTGACCGCGACCGCATAACCTCCAGGGGTGTGACCTACTCTTTATAAAGGATTCTTCAGTTCAGAAGAAGTTTAGACGAGACTTTGTTATATATCTCCTTTTTGGGCCACCGCTCAGGCCCGCTCACAGCCATACCTCTAGATATAGTACTTTACAGGCCCTAGCCTCACAGCCACACCTCTAGATACAGTAGTTATACAGGGCCTAGCCTCACGGCCATACCTCTAGATACAGTACTTATACAGGGCCTAGCCTCACGGCCATACCTCTAAAAAGTACTTATACAGGCCCGCTCACAGTCATACCTCTAGATACAGTACTTATACAGGCCCTAGCCTCACGGCCATACCTCTAAAAAGTACTTATACAGGCCCGCTCACAGCCATACCTCTAGATATAGTACTTATACAGGCCCTAGCCTCACAGCCATACCTCTAGATACAGTACTTATACAGGCCCTAGCCTCACAGCCATACCTCTAGATACAGTACTTATACAGGCCCTAGCCTTACAGCCATACCTCTAGATATAGTACTTATACAGACCCTAGCCACACAGCCATACCTCTAGATACAGTACTTATGCAGACCCTAGCCACACAGCCATACCTCTAGATACAGTACTTATACAGGCCCTTGTCTCAAGACACGGTACTTATACAGACCCTAGCCACACAGCCATACCTTTAGATACTGTACTTATACAGGCCCTAGCCTCACAGCCATACCTCTAGATACAGTACGTATACAGGCCCTAGCCACACAGCCATACCTCTAGATACAGTACGTATACAGGCCCTAGCCTCACAGCCATACCTCTAGATACAGTACTTATACATGCCCTTGTCTCTAGATACAGTACTTATAGAGGCCCTAGTTTCACGGCCATACCTCTAGATACAGTACTTATACAGGGCCTAGCCTCACGGCCATACCTCTAGATACAGTACTTATACATGCCCTAGCCTCACAGCCATACCTCTAGATACAGTACTTATATAGTCCCTAGACCCACAGCAATACCTCTAGACGCAGTACTTATACAGGCCATAGTCTCACAGTCATACCTCTAGATACAGTCCTTATACAGGCCCTAGCCTCACAGCCATACCTCTAGATACAATGCTTATACAGGCCATAGTCTCACAGCCATTCCTCTAGATACAGTCCTTATGCATGCCCTTGTCTCAAGATACGGTACTTATACAGGTCCTTGTCTCACAGCCATACCTCTAGATACGGTACCTATACAGGTCCTAGTCTCACAGCCATAACTCTAGATACGGTACTTATATAGTCCCTAGCCACACATCCATACCTCTAGATACAGTACTTATACAGACCCTAGTCTCACAGCCATACCTCTAGATACAGTACTTATACAGGCCCTAGTCTCACAGCCATTCCTCTAGATACAGTCCTTATGCATGCCCTTGTCTCAAGATACTGTACTTTTACAGGTCCTTGTCTCACAGCCATACCTCTAGATAAAGTACCTATACAGGTCCTAGTCTCACAGCCATAACTCTAGATACAGTACTTATACAGACCCTAGTCTCATAGCCATAACTCTAGATACAGTACTTATACAGGCCCTAGCCTCACGGCCATACCTCTAGATACAGTACTTATACAGGCCCTAGTCTCACAGCCATACCTTTAGATACAGTACTGATACAGGCCCTAGCCTCACAGCCATACCTCTAGATACACTACTTATACAGACCCTAGCCACACAGCCATACCTCTAGATACTGCACTTATACAGACCCTAGTCTCATAGCCATACCTCTAGATACACTACTTATACATGCCCTTGTCTCTAGATACAGTACTTATACTGGCCCTAGTTTCACGGCCATACCCCTAGATACAGTACTTATACAGGGCCTAGCCTCACGGCCATACCTCTAGATACGGTACTTATATATGCCCTAGCCACACAGCCATACCTCAAGATACAGTACTTATATAGTCCCTAGACCCACAGCAATACCTCTAGACGCAGTACTTATACAGGCCATAGTCTCATAGCCATAACTCTAGATACAGTACTTATACAGGCCCTAGTCTCACAGCCATTCCTCTAGATACAGTCCTTATGCATGCCCTTGTCTCAAGATACGGTACTTTTACAGGTCCTTGTCTCACAGCCATACCTCTAGATACGGTACCTATACAGGTCCTAGTCTCACAGCCATAACTCTCGATACCGTACTTATACAGGCCCTAGCTTCACAGCATTTTATTTCTATTTGCAACAGGATGAAAATTGTAATGACTTTTCGGTATTAGTAATTTTCTAAATTTATCGTTTTGGCGTTGAAGGAATTCGCCAAATGAACATTATTTTTACTGTGGTAAGAACTGTAGTAAGTTGCACTGTCAGATGTATATCGATGAAGAGAGTTATTTCTTGAAATTATTTACTACAGACAAAATTGTAAAAACACACATCGTCGAAAATTGATATATTGTCGAATCTTCAGCATTATCGAAGTAAAGGTTCTATTAGGCCTATATGAAACCAGGAGCTCTTCCAATCAAACCTGATAGAGACGATCGGTATGTATGGGATTTCTCCAAGTCAAGCCTTATTGAAGTTTGTTTCTTCCTCAAACCACTGTGCGTTGGATGTGTATATGTCTCCAAATCAAATATTAGACGAGCTAGGGATTTTGTGTCATCAAATGTTTTTAGAATCTAGGACTTCCATTAACGAATTTTTACTCAAACCAACCGCTATCGAAGTTTTGTAATTTTCGTAATCTTGGAAATTCTTAAAATGAATATAACAGTATCAATTAAAGATAGGTTTACCTGGAATATAGTTTCGAGATATGATATATTTATTTCAATTTCAATTTTAATTCCCAATTCTACAGACCCAGAGGTCCACTTACAGAATGGATAACAAATATAAAAAACAAATAAATATCACAGTCACTTGAAACATACAACTATGATAGGTTTACCTGTAAGATAGTTTCGAAGTATGATAGGTTTACCTGTAAGATAGTTTCGAAGTATGATAGGTTTACCTGTAAGATAGTTTCGAAGTATGATAGGTTTACCTGTAAGATAGTTTCGACTTATGATAGGTTTACCTGTAAGATAGTTTCGACTTATGATAGGTTTACCTGTAAGATAGTTTCGAAGTATGATAGGTTTACCTGTAAGATAGTTTCGAGTTGTGATAGGTTTACCTGTAAGATAGTTTCGAAGTATGATAGGTTTACCTGTAAGATAGTTTCGAGTTGTGATAGGTTTACCTGTAAGATAGTTTCGAAGTATGATAGGTTTACCTGTAAGATAGTTTCGAAGTATGATAGGTTTACCTGTAAGATAGTTTCGAAGTATGATAGGTTTACCTGTAAGATAGTTTCGAAGTATGATAGGTTTACCTGTAAGATAGTTTCGAAGTATGATAGGTTTACCTGTAAGATAGTTTCGAGTTAAGATAGGTTTACCTGTAAGATAGCTTCGAAGTATGATAGGTTTACCTGTAAGATAGTTTCGAAGTATGATAGGTTTACCTGTAAGATAGTTTCGAGTTATTATAGGTTTACCTGTAAGATAGTTTCTAAGTATGATAGGTTTACCTGTAAGATAGTTTCTAAGTATGATAGGTTTACCTGTAAGATAGTTTCGAAGTATGATAGGTTTACCTGTAAGATAGTTTCTAAGTATGATAGGTTTACCTGTAAGATAGTTTCGAGATAAGATAGGTTTACCTGTAAGATAGTTTCGAAGTATGATAGGTTTACCTGTAAGATAGTTTCGAGTTGTGATAGGTTTACCTGTAAGATAGTTTCGAAGTATGATAGGTTTACCTGTAAGATAGTTTCGAAGTATGATAGGTTTACCTGTAAGATAGTTTCGAGTTGTGATAGGTTTACCTGTAAGATAGTTTCGAGTTGTGATAGGTTTACCTGTAAGATAGTTTCGAAGTATGATAGGTTTACCTATAAGAAATCAAATAAATATACAGTTTACCTGTAAGATAGTTACAAGTATGATAGGTTTACCTGTAAGATAGTTTCGAAGTATGATAGGTTTACCTGTAAGATAGTTTCGAGTTGTGATAGGTTTACCTGTAAGATAGTTTCGAAGTATGATAGGTTTACCTTTACGATAGGATCGCTAGTTAAAATTGTTAATTTTCTAAGATGGCTTGCTCTGTTTCTGATACAATGCACATCTGATAAATTCACACATTTAAAGAGTATGACCTGTACACTATTTAAATGTACATATATATGTATGCAGATTTTGAACTGTAAAGAGTGTTCTGAAGATATGTAAAACAGCACACAGAAGGTCTTAAGCATTAAAAGTACTTACCGTTCATCACAGAACGTGAATTTGGATAAATTGATGTTAACTACTTTCTTCCGATGGTCTCAACAAATCAGACAATTTCACCATATTTAAACGAGTACCACTTTAAGGAGTACCACAGACGAAATATCCACACAGCTGTCTCCACGAATTAGTTATAATCCTATCAAGTCCGGCGCGGCGTTTTACAGCAAAATCAAACTTTCTCCAAACAGAACAGTGTATGTTTATATACACACGTGCATATTTTCTAGATAAGAAATGTTTCATTCAGAGAAATAAGACCAGTAACACGAGCTAGAAGATGGGCGCATTTGGTTGGCAGTACTTGCAGTCTACTCTCACCGGCGCTGTCTATCGGATTGGAGACAGACGAATTTGATTGGTGTGTTTTGACCGCGGGAAACAGTCACGCTTTACTGCTCCTCCTGTGTTTCCGAGGAAGACTTCCCAATTACTCTCGTTTAGAGGTACGTGTGACTGCGGAAAGTGATACCATTGTATGAAATAGACGTATTTCTAGCCGTGGTTTATAATCACGGCTACTACTGACATACATACTGTGTACACATTGTACATAGGTCCTTAAGTAAGAAAAACACAACTTTACTTCCTGGAAATATCAGTTTTGTTTGCTTTGTGTGTTTCTTATCATTGCTTTGTTTTTTTGTTTTTTTTAATTTTCACGTCAAATAATCAAATTCTGAATATCAATGTTCGCGTGAATTATAAGACTTTCATTAAAACGTATAGGCAACAAACACCCGCAACAATGTATTGCTAAAGCATTTTTTAAATATTTTGATGATTTTTAAATAAAATAGAAATACAAGGTATACTTCAAAGTCTGTTGATATCTTAAACATTATTAAAAAGTGTAACAGAATCATTCTCCCAGAGAGATCGTCTTGTGTAACAAGTCAACATTGACTAAACAGTAATAAAAAGAAATATTTCTCTAATTGTTCAAATTCTGTCAGTTTAAGCATTTAAAATGTGCTCCGTAACCTTTAAATATCTAATCCGGTTCGCTGTTTTTTCACTTTGAAATTAAAAAGGCATATCAAGTTTGACACGGCTGATAACATAATGATAGACGTAACAAATTGACTGCAGTCAATGTAGATTAAACGGAGAACTAGTGACTTTTATCTGACAATGGAACGATGTCCGGTTTATGTTAAAGTATAGATTTATTTTTGTTTGAAATGTTTGGAGTGTTTCTAATGAATTTAAAAGTCGCCGAAAGGACATATTTTAATATTTCATCTGTTAGAAAATCTAACTGTCGGCGTTGAAATTTATATGAGTGATATTAACTTGGGAACATGGCGAGAACAGAGTGGCTATAAAAGTTAGATACATCTCTGATAATGTCTTATTACGCAACGCGGCTAGCGAGATACATGTTAACATTCACGGAAATTTATGCAAAACGGAATATTTTGAGAATGTATGTGGCGCCATTTTAGTTATTAACTGTATCCCTCCGCGCCGTGCAGTGTTATCCGGTTTTCAGAATGTCGGTTCAGAAATTGTTGACAACGATGATGAAAAGGACTTTCGTTCTTTCCTAAGTGCCGGAATTGATGAAAAAAATGCGGTGTAATAAACTATCATTGTACATCTCCCTCACGCGCATCAAATGACACACAAGAGGCGCGTTCGATAGCCGGCTGGCGACGAAAGTTTTGTGATAACGCCCTTTGTGTCTTGTATAGACCCCTGGGGCCAGTCTCTGCCTTGTGTGTAGACCCCCTTCTCCAGAAGTTTGCACCCATCTCGTTCATAGACTCCCTTTAGCCCTTCTCGTGGTGATCACTTGACTCAGTCATATCATAGTGTATACAGCTATATCGCCGTCCCGACGCGTTAGGTATGGATATTCGTGAATCCAATGTTTAATTTCAATGGTTTCATTAGATCAACTGTAAATAAGATTTTAAATTTGTCCTGAAATGAGAACTACTGACTCGCTCCTGCTACATCTGGTTAAGTTAGGACAAGTCGATTCTAATCTCCGCTTATCGGTGTTGGTGCGACTGGGGGCCGCCAGGTGGCGTCAATGGGCACAAAAGGGGTACGAAAACAAAGCACCTCTCTTCAAACAGTAGCAGATTAAATATTTATCAGAAGTGTGTTAAAGAAGAATTATCGCTGTCATCAGCCACAATTACAGTAAAACACTTATTGTGGAGACAAAACATCTCTAAACGAACGAGAAAAACCGATGATGTTTGCTAATCTGATATGGCTGTACATCACACTGCGATAAGGAGGGGCAAGGAGAAAGGGTGATGGGAATGACCAAGAATAGAAAACAGGGGCAGCAGAAATCTAAAGGGACCATGCGGAATAATGGAAAGATCACTTCTATATCGTCCTACAGTGGAGAGTGTTATCACACTTCTATATCGTCCTACATTGGGGAGTGTTATAACACCTCTATATCGTCCTACATTGGGGAGTGTTATCACACTTATATATCGTCCTACATTGGGGAGTGTTATCACACTTCTATATCGTCCTACAGTGGGGAGTGTTATCACACTTCTATATCGTCCTACAGTGGGGAGTGTTATCACACTTCTATATCGTCCTACAGTGGGGAGTGTTATCACACTTCTATATCGTCCTACAGTGGGGAGTGTTATCACACTTCTATATCGTCCTACAGTGGGGAGTGTTATCACACTTCTATATCGTCCTACAGTGGGGAGTGTTATCACACTTCTATATCGTCCTACAGTGGGGAGTGTTATCACACTTCTATATCGTCCTACAGTGGGGAGTGTTATCACACTTCTATATCGTCCTACAGTGGGGAGTGTTATCACGACCTACAGTGGGGAGTGTTATCACACTTCTATATCGTCCTACAGTGGGGAGTGTTATCACACTTCTATATCGTCCTACAGTGGGGAGTGTTATCACACTTCTATATCGTCCTACAGTGGGGAGTGTTATCACACTTCTATATCGTCCTACAGTGGGGAGTGTTATCACACTTCTATATCGTCCTACAGTGGGGAGTGTTATCACACTTCTATATCGTCCTACAGTGGGGAGTGTTATCACACTTCTATATCGTCCTACAGTGGGGAGTGTTATCACACTTCTATATCGTCCTACAGTGGGGAGTGTTATCACACTTCTATACAGTGGGGAGTGTTATCACACTTCTATATCGTCCTACAGTGGGGAGTGTTATCACACTTCTATATCGTCCTACAGTGGGGAGTGTTATCACACTTCTATATCGTCCTACAGTGGGGAGTGTTATCACACATCTATATCGTCCTACAGTGGGGAGTGTTATCACACTTCTATATCGTCCTACAGTGGGGAGTGTTATCACACTTCTATATCGTCCTACAGTGGGGAGTGTTATCACACTTCTATATCGTCCTACAGTGGGGAGTGTTATCACACTTCTATATCGTCCTACAGTGGGGAGTGTTATCACACTTCTATATCGTCCTACAGTGGGGAGTGTTATCACACTTCTATATCGTCCTACAGTGGGGAGTGTTATCACACTTCTATATCGTCCTACAGTGGGGAGTGTTATCACACTTCTATATCGTCCTACAGTGGGGAGTGTTATCACATTTCTATATCGTCCTACAGTGGGGAATGTTATCCCACTTCTATATCGTCCAACAGTAGAGAGTATTGTCACACTTCTATAACGTCCTACAGTGAGGAGTGTTATCACTCTTCTATATCGTCCTACATGGGGAGTGTTATCACACTTCTATATCGTCCTACAGTGGGGAGTGTTATCACACTTCTATATCGTCCTACAGTGGGGAGTGTTATCACACTTCTATATCGTCCTACAGTGGGGAGTGTTATCACACTTCTATATCGTCCTACAGTGGGGAGTGTTATCACACTTCTATATCGTCCTACAGTGGGGAGTGTTATCACACTTCTATATCGTCCTACAGTGGGGAGTGTTATCACACTTCTATATCGTCCTACAGTGGAGAGTGTTATCACACTTCTATATCGTCCTACAGTGGGGAGTGTTATCACACTTCTATATCGTCCCACAGTGGGGAGTGTTATCACACTTCTATATCGTCCTACAGTGGAGAGTGTTATCACACTTCTATATCGTCCTACAGTGGGGAGTGTTATCACACTTCTATATCGTCCTACAGTGGGGAGTGTTATCACACTTCTATATCGTCCTACAGTGGGGAGTGTTATCACACTTCTATATCGTCCTACAGTGGGGAGTGTTATCACACTTCTATATCGTCCTACAGTGGGGAGTGTTATCACACTTCTATATCGTCCTACAGTGGGGAGTGTTATCACACTTCTATATCGTCCTACAGTGGGGAGTGTTATCACACTTCTATATCGTCCTACAGTGGGGAGTGTTACCACACTTCTACATTATCCTACAGTGGGGAGTGTTATCACACTTCTATGTCGTCCTACAGTGGGGAGTGTTATCACACTTCTATATCGTCCTACAGTGGGGAGTGTTATCACACTTCTATATCGTCCTACAGTGGGGAGTGTTATCACACTTCTATATCGTCCTACAGTGGGGAGTGTTATCACACTTCTATATCGTCCTACAGTGGGGAGTGTTATCACACTTCTATATCGTCCTACAGCGGGGAGTGTTATCACACGTCTATATCGTCCTACAGTGGGGAGTGTTATCACACTTCTATATCGTCCTACAGTGGGGAGTGTTATCACACTTCTATATCGTCCTACAGTGGGGAGTGTTATCACACTTCTATATCGTCCTACAGTGGGGAGTGTTATCACACTTCTATATCGTCCTACAGTGGGGAGTGTTATCACACTTCTATATCGTCCTACAGTGGGGAGTGTTATCACACTTCTATATCGTCCTACAGAAGGGAGTGTTATCACACTTCTATATCGTCCTACAGTAGGGAGTGTTATCACACTTCTATATCGTCCTACAGTGGGGAGTGTTATCACACTTCTATATCGTCCTACAGTGGGGAGTGTTATCACACTTCTATATCGTCCTACAGTGGGGAGTGTTATCACACTTCTATATCGTCCTACAGTGGGGAGTGTTATCACACTTCTATATCGTCCTACAGTGGGGAGTGTTATCACACTTCTATATCGTCCTACAGTGG